TCTGATCTGGACCCCGGGAACCCCTCTTTGCATGCACGTTCCCACCTGACTTGCAGATCGTGGCATCGCGCCTCCGCTTCTTCACTCTTCTTCTGGGAGACCACTACCGCAGTGGAGAGCTCGGTGACTGCGTTTCGGAGGGCTGCTAACTGTTCCTCCGCATTCATGGCTGCCAAACTTCGTGAGCTTTGCAAAAAAAAAAATTGCGTTCTTTTTGAGAGGGGACTTACTGTCAGGGCTGCCTCAGGTCCCAGCTCACAAGAGACCAACGCCAAGTCCAGTTTATATACAAAAATGTTTATTGAAGTTCATTGTACGCTCCACAGCCGAGGCGCGCAGCCCCACGTCTGTTACGCTTAGACCGCTGAAGTCCCCTCTGAGTCAGTCCCTCCTCTGCACCAGTTTAAGAGGGCTGTGCTGCTCCACCTCTTCCTTTCTTTCCTTTTCCGCAGGGTCTTTCTGCCCCCTGGGGTTTCGCCCCTCCTGGATTCCCCTGACGCTGAATCCCCAGACAGCTCTTCCCTGTGACTCCCCTTGGCCTTACCACAGGCACCCCCTTCTGGGAATCCTCCGATTCACTTGAAAGACTCATGGAATCCCTCAAGTCATCGTCATCCTCTTCCTCGCTGTCCTGGGATTCTTCCCCCTCGCTCTCCATCTCCTCCCTCACCTGTGCCTCTGTGCCTGAACCCCTGACAGCTTCCCTTGGCACTTTTCCTATAGCTTTGTGTGCTGGACAGTAGCATCCAGGTGGTGACTGTTTTCTCAAGGAATTCCCTAGTCTCCTGGTACATTACAGGCACCAGTAAGCCTTTTGGAGGTCTCCCACTTTTGCATTCCACCTTTTGTTGCCAGAGCAAGCTCAGAGGAGGGGGAGACAGTGGTAGTTCATGGGGTGTGTGTGTCTGAATGAGAGAACTATTACTTTCCCCAGTTACATCACTGCAAATGCAACAGCATTTCAAAACAGAATGCCTCCTCTAGTCTGGGTCTTGTGTGAGGATGCTTGTGTGACTGGTCTTTCTTGATACCAGTGAGCAGCAACTGAAGGTTGAAACTAATATAGCCTTAATAAATCTCCGAATCTATTTTAAATTACGTATGGGTTTTGTTCCATTATTAAGTCATTCTAATGCATTTTATTTCCCCCAGAGTGGCTGGGGGAACCGAGCCAGATGGGCAGGGTATAAATAATAAATCATAATAAATTATTATTATTATTATTATTATTATTATTATTATTATTATTATTTTATTTTCTACTTTATATTCTATTCTAATCCATGAGCATAGCCAGGATTTTTGTTGCGGCGGGCACTGGCCATGCTTGTTGGGACTGATGGCAACATCGGGAGGGCAAAAGGTTTCACTCGCCTGCTGTAAAGGAACCACAACTGAATGTAAAAAGTTTCATTTGCACTTAGAAAATGTAAAGTAGACATTTTTTAAAAAAACAAAGATAAGTACGTTGCTTGGAAGATGAGAGTGTGAACCTCGCACGTTAAGAAGGAATTCATAACAGCTGGAAGGTTTGGCCAGTTCTGGAGCTCCAGAAATGAAGTCCCTGCCTGGCTTCGGAGATGCTTCAGTCAGTGCCTCCCCTCTTTCAGAATAGAAGTAGCTTCCGGTTGGAAGCTGAACAAAGAGGATGGAGGAAAAGCTGCTGAAACGATGTGTCAGCGGGCAGCCACCGGCCCCTCAAAACCGTCACACGGGCGAAACACCTGCCACTCACCCGACACTTGCAGCCATGGCCAGCTCCCTTTGGCGCCTCCGGCCATCGCGTTTCCTCTTGTCGGCTATAGGAGAGGAAATGGTGGTGTCTCTGCTAGCCTTTCTCAACCTGTGGGTCCCCAGATGCTGTTGAACTACAACTCCCATCACCCCTAGATGGGAGTTGTAGTCCAACAACATCTGGGGACCCACAGGTTGAGACCCTTCTCGGAGCCAGGACAGGTTGAGACCCTTCTTGGAGCCAGAGGAGGGCAACCAAAATGATCAAAGGCCTGGAAACGATGCCTTATGAGGAACGGCTAAGGGAGCTGGGCATGTTTAGCCTGGAGAAGAGGAGGTTAAGGGGTGATATGATAGCCATGTTCAAATATATAAAGGGATGTCACATAGAGGAGGGAGAAAGGTTGTTTTCTGCTGCTCCAGAGAAGCGGACACGGAGCAATGGATCCAAACTACAAGAAAGAAGATTCCACCTAAACATTAGGAAGAACTTCCTGACAGTAAGAGCTGTTCGACAGTGGAATTTGCTGCCAAGGAGTGTGGTGGACTCTCCTTCTTTGGAGGTCTTTAAGCAGAGGCTTGACAACCATATGTCAGGAGTGCTCTGATGGTGTTTCCTGCTTGGCAGGGGGTTGGACTCGATGGCCCTTGTGGTCTCTTCCAACTCTATGATTCTATGAAAGGCGAAACGATTTTAACAGCTATAAACGCATTTCAGGCTTGGCTTAAATCTTAATAAACCCCCAGCCCCAGGTTGCTTTAAACTTGCCAGGGCTTCTCATCCCTTAAGCTCCTGTAGTGGACCTTAAGAAGAAGAATCTTATCCATAAATTAAAACAATACTTTAAAAAGATAGTTAAAAAGACTCCTCTTAAAAACTCTCTTAAAAGAATCAAGTCTTCAAAAAAAGTTATACGATCTAAGAAAGTCTTTAAAATAATCCTTCCAAAAGAATTTAAAAATTATAATATACTGTAGCACCTTAAAGAACAACTGAGTAGTTTACCTAAAAGAGTCGGACACGACTAATCGACCAAACAAGTTTAATGCAACTAAAAAACAGAAAGTAGAATGCGCGAGTTGTGACCTCCGCAATTACTTTTAAATCACAAAAGGTGCCTTGAAAGAACAGCGAAGTGGTTTTCCCCAGGCGCGCTCCCGGAGCCAGAGGGCAGAGCCCGGAAAGGGAGCGGGCGGCCAGGGAAAGTCCCTCCCGCCTGTTGGTGCGAGCCAGACACCGAAACAGGTCCTCGGCCTTTTTGAAGCAGCCTCAGGCCGAAGAGGCTTTGCTCCTGCCACGTCTCCGGGCTGCAACGCGCTTACTGTTGCGTCACCATCATTATGACGTCATACACGCCGTGCACAAGAGACGAATACTGTCACCATAGACCTTGAGAGATGAGGGAGGGAGGGAGCAGCGCAGAAATGATAGGGAACCAACGGGTGAGAAAATATTCCGTAATGGGGGACGCATCCTACACGTCACAAAAATTCTAGAGGGATTTTGTGGGGAAGGGCAATAACGCTGAACAGGAGACGTGGGGGCGGCTGGGGGGCTCCGTCAGGGGCGCGCCTCCCGTGGCGGAGCTGCTTTCACAATGTCTGCCCCAGAAGCGAGCGCTCGTGAGAATTTGGCCGACGTCGGACGGGGCTCCTGGGCTGCCCTCGCGGGGAAGCGGCGCCTGGCTGCCCGCGGCGCCCGCAGACACTCGAAGCTCTTCCGCGGCCTCCTTTCCTGTCCGGCCCCAATCCTAAACGCGCTTGCCGGGGAGTAAGCCGCCTCTGGCACAGGACGAGCGGCCCAGCCTTGGCTGCTCGGGGGCGGGGTCCCCGGGGGTCGGAAACCGTGGGCTGCTCCCCCTCCGTCGGCTGCGCTTCTGGTGCGCTTCAGAGTCAGCCTGCCTCGGACTGGACAGCCGGGCTTTAAAGGGCAGCTTCTGATTCGGAAGCGAAACCGGGCGTGTTCTTCAAGATTGTGATGTTACTAAGACGACAATTCTCTGTTGATATTTGTATTATCAAACACGTACTATGCTAATATATGGAAATATATACTTGTATACAATATATGTATGCTGATGGCATTGTGTTGATTTTATAGGAAAACTATATTATATTTGAATGGAATCAGACAGTTCTTTTTAAGACATTTTTTTAAAAAAAACATATCCCCTGAACGTGCTCAAAAGAACTCCCTGTTTATATTTACTTTCGTTTAATAAGCTTGCAGAACATAATTTCAGAACTAAAAATAAATGGCAGCATAAAAAGTCTCGTTTTCACACCAGTAAGCAAGAAACACAAAGTGTGGCAAAGCTCATGTTCTACAACTTGATACAGATTGATATGGATCTGCAATCAAAGTACTTTACTTTCATCAAGTTAAATAGGCACCCAGTAGAAAACTGGGCACCATATTTGGCAGGATTTTTATATGGCGCTTGGGGGACTGCCAAATTAACTTTCTTTGAAGCTGTTTCCTAAATTGTAAATAGTAATTGTAGTTCCTTTTTAATTCCTGTTAAAGAACAACTACTCAGTAGTACTTCGTGCTAGAATTTACTATTTGATGCTTATTTGATTTCTCTGACCCTCTAATATTCGCATGTCATCGCTTCCCTTGTTCAAGGGAGCGGAAAATACGTTTGCACCCTTTCTCCATCTACTTCCTTTTGGAGTGCGGGCTAAATTCACCTATGGGAATACAGAGTATGGGAATACAGAGTACGTGAGCGACCGACAGTAGTCTTGTTTGGTACTAAATGTGCATTTATATTAATGTGCTGTATTTGGTCTGCTTGGACATCTGTTGGAATACTGTTGGCAGGAGAAGTAGGAAGGATAGTAAAGAATACTTTTCTAACCCACATTTTTTATAAATTGCTGTTCTTTCCTTGTTGATTTTTTTTGGGGGGGGCACTACTATAAACACAGTATGGCTGTTTCCCCAGCATTTCCCCTAATTGTCGTCTTCTTTCTGCTACACCTGTGATGTTGCCTGGTTATTCCCCCCCCCCATGCAGATAATAATTTCCGTTAATATAATCTTTTTGTGTGGTGGTGCCCATCTTGGCTTGCTCTCTAGAGAGCTGCGAAATGCTTTATCGCAGTAGTTCCCACTTAGCTAAGCACTGCAGACTCTCTCTTTTTCAAAAGCCAAGCCATGGATCTCCTACTTTTGAAAATGTTGATATCTCTATGATAGTTTTTGTTATGTGAATGGAGCCACGGACCCCCTGGGTGGGTTATGCGCACCCCCTGAGGTCCACAGACCACCAGTTGGGAACCACTGCTTTATCGTGTTGCTCTAAGCAGTAGTCTTTCGCTCATTTCCCCACCCTCACGTATTTTGGTAGCAAGTTTTGTGTTTGTTTGTATTTTGTATTTAAGACTGGAAAACAAATTCAGATTTTGATTTGAGATTACAAATCTTGGTACTCCTGAATACTTTCTGAACCCTGACTCGTGCAAGTATAAGTAGTTGTTTTTAAACTGCTGTACTGGGCTCTAAATAGTTTCAGGGGTCACCTCAATCAAAGATGATTGACTGAGGCAGTCAGTCTTAGGCAGGACCTTAGGCAGCCTTCTGCCCGCGTTGCTGATGCAGCTGCACGTCCAGTTGCACATCCACTTTCAAAGTCCGTTCTAGTCCAGTGCTCTGCCGATAGGAATAGGGACACACATCTTCAACCCTGATGGTGACCAGTTTGCTCATGACAGCTGGACCTGCTTTCCGTGTTGTGTTCACGTTTGGGAGGAGAGATGGCAACCTGCAGGTGTTGCACCCATGTCGCCCTTGTCGGTGAGACGTGATCCGTTTCCCCACTTGCCTATTGCTGTATATAGCCTGTTTTATGTTCAGAACCTCACTAATGAAAGAAAAACCGCGTGTGCTTCGATTTCCAACTCGTGTTCCCCACCATTGCTCACTCAAGTGGCAGCCAATGGGCAGCAGGATCCCTCCCTTCCTCCCTCCCTCCCTCTTCCAGGGTAAGGAAGGTCCCCGCGGGTCTCCCTGGGCAGAGCCAGCGAGCCAGAGGCGGCTTGGCGCCGGTTTCTCCTCGGGGCCGGCTGCGCGGACTTTGCTCGCGATGAGTCTCCGTCGTGAGGAGGCAGCTTTCGAGCCGCTCCGCTGCCCGGGCTCCGATGGGGAAGAAGAGCTCGCCATCTCGGGCGGCCGGCCGTTGCTCCGCGGGCAGGAGGCGTCCGGCGGGGGCGCGGCGGGGGCGCCGGCCAAGCCGCCCTACTCCTACATCGCGCTGATCGCCATGGCCATCGCGCAGAGTCCGCGGCAGAAGCTGTCTCTGAGCGGGATCTGCGCCTTCATCCGCGGCTGCTTCCCCTACTACGGCGAGCGCTTCCCCGCCTGGCAGAACTCCATCCGCCACAACCTGTCGCTCCACGACTGCTTCGTCAAGGTGCCCCGCGAGCCCGGCCGCGCCGGCCAAGGCAGCGACTGGAGCCTGCACCCGGCCGCGCAGGGCATGTTCCGCCACGGCAGCTTCCTCCGCCGCAGGAGGCGCTTCAGGCGGCCCCCGCTGCCTTCCCCGGCCGCCCCCGGCGCCGGGACCCCGCTCCTCCTCCTCCTCCCGCCGCCGCCGCCCGGCTCCGCGCTGCCCGGCGGGGAGCGGCCCCCGGGGGCGGAGGGGGGCCTTGGCCGCGGCCCCCGCAGCTGCTCCTTCAGCATCGAGAGCATCCTGAGGGGCCCCTCGCCGATCCCCACCCGAGGAAGGGCAGCCGCGCGCCCGGATCGCCGCTGAAGGATGCGAGCGGTGCTAGCTCGGATTGGAGCCCGAAGTGCAGACGCTCAGGCGCCTCTGTTCCTGCACAGACTCACTTTCTGGTGCTGCTCCTCCTCCAGGAGGTTTTCTGCCGACATCCCCATCTCAACTGGTCTGGGATTTAGGGAGGGTTACTCTTGGACATGAAGTGTTCACAGCGCCGAAGATCTGAAGAAAGGCAGTCTAGTACTTCCTGATGTTTTAAAATAACTCAACAAAAAGACTTTACTGTAGTATGTTTGTAGAATGGCTATGATGTGATAAACCTGTTAGTCTTTAAAGTGCCACCAGGTCACTGTTGATTACCTCTCCGGTTTATTCTGCTTTATTAGATGTTCATTGTTGTACAGAGGGGCTAAAAATCACAACAAAAGCAAACATTTGGTATGAAAAGTTACAGGATTTCAAAAGGAAGTTCAGATATGCATTGACTGGAAATTAAGCAGCATAACTGCCTGAAAACCTTTATAGGTGCAAAACGTTTTGAAAGCAGGGTCGTATATAACCATCCCAATAATGTGAGCACAAAGCATCATGAATTGCACAATAAGAAGGGCAACTGAAGAGTCCCTAACAGCGCTACCACAGTTTGATGTTCTGAGAAATCTACTATCATCACTTGCCTGTGCAAAATTAATCAAAAGTAGAAACAAAATTGAGAATCGCCCCATATCAGTTTACCAAAGATTTTAAAATGCCAAATGGATGTTAGACATATCTAAATAGAAAGTCCAGCTAAATATTTATTACATGTGACCTCGGTTATTGGAATTTGCTGTAGTGCATTGTTGAAGTGATATCTTGTTTGGGACTCAGATAAAATGATATGTATCTTTCTGTCTGATTTTTAATAGAGATTCATTTATTGGACTGGGGGTGAATTCATTCATTTGCTGGTTGGTGCTGGCCATAAAAGTCATATTAATTGGTTAACTGGTTAAAAAGATATTGGTTAGGTTTTTTTAAAATGACAACAGCATCATTAAATTGGTGGCTGATTGCTCTGGTATGAAGCATTTATTATTATTATTCCAGCAGACTTTTAATTCAGTTCTGATTTTATGGTTTAATCTCCTGTATCCCACTTAGAGGTGACTGTGATCAAGCTGTATACAATTAATGAAATACAATAAATAAAAATCGGATGTGGAGTACTGGGAGGGTGCAAGCCTTTCACTTTCCTCCTTGTACTTTTTTCTCTAGTTTACTTTACATCCAGTGTCAGGGCTCAGCTAGAATAAAAGCTTATTCCAGAACAGACTGTGGGGAAATAAACTGATGTCTTTTGTAGCATTCTAGCCTCCCATGTTGATATCTATGGAGGAACTACATAGCTGCCATATTTGAGGTGACCGGCCAGTGCTGGAAGTATAGCAAACAAGACCTAAAGAAGCTGAACTCAAGGCTGAAGGGGTGCTGAATGCCCCTCCTCAAAAAGCTTTACCAAAAGTAAAGCTGATGCTGTTCATGAAACTTAGGTTAGAACTTTGTTGTTGTTTAGTCATTTAGTCGTGTCCGACTCTTCGTGACCCCATGGACCAGAGCACGCCAGGCACTTCTGTCTTCCACTGCCTCCCGCAGTTTGATCAAACTCATGCTGGTAGCTTCGAGAACACTATCCAACCATCTCGTCCTTTGTCATCCCCTTCTCCTTGTGCCCTCCATCTTTCCCAACATCAGGGTCTTTTCCAGGGAGTCTTCTCTTCTCATGAGGTGGCCAAAGTATTGGAGCCTCAGCTTCACGATCTGTCCTTCGGGTGAGCACTCAGGGCTGATTTCCCTAAGAATGGCTAGGTTTGATCTTCTTGCAGTCCATGGGACTCTCAAGAGTCTCCTCCAGCACCATAATTCAAAAGCATCAATTCTTCGGCGATCAGCCTTCCTTATGGTCCAGCTTTCACTTCCATACATCACTACTGGGAAAACCATAGCTTTTACTATACAGACCTTTGTTGGCAAGGTGATGTCTCTACTTTTTAAGATGCTGTCTAGGTTTGTCATTACTTTTCTCCCAAGAAGCAGGCGTCTTTTAATTTCGTGGCTGCTGTCACCATCTGCAGTGATCATGAAGCCCAAGAAAGTAAAATCTCTCACTGCCTCCATTTCTTCCCCTTCTATTTGCCAGGAGGTGATGGCCCCAGTGGCCATGATCTTCGTTTTTTTGATGTTGAGCTTCAGACCATATTTTGCTCTCTCCTCTTTCACCCTCAATAAAAGGTTCTTTAATTCCTCCTCACTTTCTGCCATCAATGAAGCAGAAGTAGATGTCTTTCTGGAACTCTCTAGCTTTCTCCATAATCCAGCGCATGTTTGCAATTTCGTATCTGGTTCCTCTGCCTCTTCTAAATCCAGCTTGCACTTCTGGGAGTTCTCGGTCCACATACTGGTTGAGCCTACCTTGTAGAATTTTAAGCATAACCTTGCTAGCGTGTGAAATGAGTGCAATTGTGCGGTAGTTGGAGCATTCTTTGGCACTGCCCTTCTTTGGGATTGGGATGTAGACTGATCTTCTCCAATCCTTTGGCCACTGCTGAGTTTTCCAAACTTGCTGGCACATTGAGTGTAGCACCTTAACAGCATCATCTTTTAAAATTTTAAATAGTTCAGCTGGAATACCCTCACTTCCACTGGCCTTGTTATTTGCAGTGCTTTCTAAGGCCCATTTGACTTCACTCTCCAGGATGTCTGGCTCAAGGTCAGCAACCACACTACCTGGGGTGTACGAGCCATCCATATCTTTCTGGTATAATTCCTCTGTGTATTATTGCCACCTCTTCTTGATGTCTTCTGCTTCTGTTAGGTCCTTTCCACTTTTGTCCTTTATTATGGTAATCTTTGTACAAAATGTTCCTTTCATATCTCCTATTTTCTTGAAGGTTCTTCCCATTCTGTTGTTTTCCTCTATTTCTTTGCATTGCTCGTTTAACAAGGCCTTCTTGTCTCTCCTTGCTATTTTTTTGAAATCTGCATTCAATTTCCTATATCTTTCACTATCTCCCTCGCATTTTGCTTGCCTTCTCTCCCCCGCTATTTGTAAGGCCTTGTTGGACAGCCACTTTGCTTTCTTGCATTTCCTTTTCATTGGGATGGTTTTCGTTGCTGCCTCCTGTATAATATTGCGAGCCTCCATCCATAGTTCTTCAGGCACTCTGTCCACCAAATCTAAAACCTGTTCCTCACTTCCACTATGTATTCATAAGGGATTTGATTTAGATTGTATCTTACCGGCCCAGTGGTTTTTCCTACTTTCTTCAGTTTAAGCTTGAATTTTGCTATAAGAAGCTGATGATCTGAGTCAGCTCCAGGTCTTGTTTTTGCTGACTGTATAGAGCTTCTCCATCTTTGGCTGCAGAGAATATAATCAATCTGATTTCGATGCTGCCCATCTGGTGATGTCCATATGTAGAGTCGTCTCTTGTGTTGTTGGAAAAGTGTTTTTGTGATGACCAGCTTGTTCTCTTGATAGAACTCTATTAGCCTTTGCCCTGCTTCGTTTTGATTACCAAGGCCAAACTTGCCAGTTGTTCCTTTTATCTCTTGATTCCCTACTTTAGCATTCCAATCCCCTATAATGAGAAGAACATCCTTCTTTGGTGTCACTTCTATAAGGTGTTGTAAGTCTTCATAGAATTGGTCAATTTCAGTTTCTTCAGCACCAGTAGTTGGTGCATAAACTTGGATTACTGTGATGTTAAAAGGTCTGCCTTGGATTCGTATTGAGATCATTCTATCATTTTTGCGATTGCATCCCAGTACAGCTTTCGCCACTCTTTTGTTGACTATGAGGGCCACTCCATTTCTTTTGTGGGTTTCTTGCCCACAGTAGTAGACATGATGGTCATCCGAACTGAATTCGCCCATTCCCATCCATTTTAGTTCACTGATGCCCAGGATGTCAATATTTATTCTTGCCATGTCATTTTTGACCACATCCAACTTACCCAGGTTCATAGTTCTAACATTCCATGTTCCTATGCAAAATTTTTCTTTACAGCATTGGACTTTCCTTTCACTTCCAGGCATATCTGCAACTGAGCGTCCTTTCGGCTTTGGCCCAGCTGTTTCATCAGCTCTGGATCTACTTGTCCTCCGCTCTTCTTCAGTAGCATGTTGGATGCCTTCCGACCTGAGGGGCTCATTTTCCAGCGTCATAACTTTTATATGCCTGTTGTCTTTGTCCATGGAGTTTTCTTGGCAGGGATACTGGAGTGACTTGCCGGTTCCTCCTCCAGGTGGATCATGTTTGGTCAAAACTCTCCACTATGACCTGTTCATCTTGGGTGCCCTGCTCGGCATAGTTCATAGCTTCTCTGAGTTATTCAAGCCCCTTCGCCACGGCAAGGCAGTGAACCATTAGTTAGAACTAATGGAGGGATAATGTCATTCTGGAGAGGTGACTCCACAGAAGAAACAAGTACTAGTCACAAGTTAAGTGGTATGACAGGTGGCAGTACCAAGGAGTTCATAAATATCGACAAAGCATGGTGAGCAGGTGGGCAGGCACTGGTATTGGTGAAGCCCTCAGGAGTGTGGTGAGTGGTGTCATAAGTGTCTGTTCTGATCAGGACTGATAGTGAGAGCTATTCTGATGTTTTTTCTAATGTGCAGAGAAACAAGAAAAAAAAGGTCCACAGTTTATCCTTTACAATATTTTGGAGCAATTTCCTTTGGGCTAGCTTGAGTGTGGGCAAGATTTCTTCAGCAGGAATAAGTCCCACAGTGAGAATGTATTTGGACTGCCAGCCACTAAGCAGTTATTTACAGCGTTTAAAAATACTACCATGCTGCCTGAGCCAAGGAGTTAAAATAAATATCGGAGAACACTGAATTTTGCTGCCCTCTAGTGGAAACATTAATTCATCTTCCAAGATTTAGGATATCAGAGTCACAGATACCGAACGAAGAAAACTACTTCTTTTTTTCCTTTTTGAGAAATCCGCTGATGGACTCTGAAAGTGAACACATTTATGTGATACATA